TCGGAAGGACCGTAGTCTGCAGGAGACAGGGGTCAGAAAGACCGTTGTCTGTTGATGGAGGTCAGAAGGACCGTAGTAGGCGGCAGAGGTCGAAAGGATCGTAGTCGGCAGGAGACCGGGGTCAGAAAGACCGTTGTTTGTTGTGGAGGTCGGAAGGACCATAGTAGAGACGGAGGTCGGAAGGACCGTAGTTGACAGGAGACCTGGGTCAGAAAGACTGTTGTCTGATGATGGAAGTCGAATGAACTGCAGTAGGCGACGGAGGTCGAAAGGACCGTAGTCGGCAGGAGACCGAGGTCGGAAAGACCGTTGCCTGTTGATGGAGGCCGGAAGGACCATAGTAGGCGATGGAGGTTGAAAGGACCGTAGTCGACAGTATTATGGGAGAACTGTGGGCATCAGGTGGTGGCCTGGTGGAGCTCAAGGCCTCAAGTAGTGGTCCGGCGGAAGTCTGGGCCTCATGTGATGTTCTAGTGGAGCACACAACCTTTTATGATAATCTGGCGAAGACAAGGGCCTCTGGGAAAGGTGAGGGCCTCTGGCGAAGGTGAAGGCCGCTGGTAAAAGTGATTGCCCCTGGCGAAGGTTAGGGCCTCTAGCGAAGGTGAGGGCCTCAGATGAAGACATTTGGCCTGAACATCGGGCCTTGAGCAGAATGTTGGGCCTTCAGCAGAATGTCGGGCCTTGTGTAGAACGTTGGGCCTTCAACAGAACGTCGGGACTTGAGCAGAATGTCGGGCCTTGAGTAGAATGTCGGGCCTTCAGCAGAACGTCGAGCCTGAATGTCAGGCCTTCAGTAGAACGTCGGGCCTGAATGTCGGGCCTTCAATAGAACGTCGGGCCTTGAGATGGTGGTGCGGCGAAACTCCGGCGGTGGTCCAGCGAGGCTCCAACGGTGGTCCGGCGAGGCTCCGGCAGTGGTTCGACGGTGGTCCGGCGAGGCTCTGGCGGTGGTCCGGCGAGGCTCCTGCAGTGGTCCGGCGAGGTTCCGGCGGTGGTCGAGGAGGAGCTTCTTCCTTCTCCTCTTCTCTTCTTGCTTGGCCCCCCTTTCAAGAGAAATGAGGGGTCTATTTATAGATTTTTTGGAGTGGCATGACCCGTAAATAGGTGAGAGATCAAGGGTAAATGGGGAGTGGTTGGATGGACGGCTGATATTGAACCCCTTGATCATGGACTGATGACGTATCAGGGCTTATCTTTCCTTATCAATTACTGATATTTCACATGATCAGCTTGATATAATTACGAATCTGCCACTCAAAACTCAAAATAAATCGAATCGATTTTAACTGCAGTAAATACTTGAGAATATTATTATCGGGCTTATATGCTGAATTGTCTTTTATAAATCAAATTATGATACATCTAAATTTATATATATATAAATAATAATAATAATAATGTGAAGTCCTTAACCTTAGAACTTTTTATTTCCATAGCGCTTTGTACAACTCCAGCTGAAGTAAGTTTTATTTTAATTGATAAGTAAAAATACAAATTTAACTACGGGTGCAAATGAGTCAAGCCGATATGAGAGCCTACTCGAGCTCTACTCGTTAACAAGATCGTGACTCAAGCTTACTCAGTTTCAAGCTCGAGCAGATTTTCGAGCTTGTTGGATTATTGAGCTTGAGTTTGACCTTGATGAACTCGAGTCAATTACTCGTTGAACAGATTTAGTGCATAAGGTGGAAGCATGAAAGCACGCGCGCCGAAGCTACAGCGCAGGTGTGGTCTTGTGGAGACGAGAATGCGGGATCAAAGCGGGAAGAGAGTGTTACACCTTGTGAGCTGCTCGCTAGCTCACATCCATCGTGACAAGTAGAACTCGACTAGGCCATTTGAGCTTGAGTTAAACTCGTGATCTTGTTGACAAGCTGAGCCAAAGTTAAGCGTAATTTGAGCTCAATTCAACTCGTTTGCAATGTGACTTGAACTGAGCCATTGTTTTGAATAATTTATCTGTCAAGCATTTATTTTCAGAATATTATATAGTTGAGAAGAAACAAATGGATAAGAGTACATGATGAGCGGCTTAGTTTGTAAGTTTATACATTATTATTTTATCTCTTTGTTCCATTTCAGCTGTCACCAAAAAACAAATTGCTCGTCATAAAGTAAAGAAAAATGTTCTCATATCGAACTTAACTCGAAATTCTGCCTTGATTAGTTGTCTTACTTGACATAAAAAATTAATATCTGACTTATTATCTTTATAAAAAAAATAATATTAGAATTGATACATCATCAAAAATTTATCTTGATAAGACAAAAATCTCGAGGCAAATTTGAGTTGGAAGCTTTTGAAATTAAATTTGGGATCATTCGAACTTCGATTTCAACAAACTTATAGTTGAACTAAACATCTTGAAAGTATGAACCCAACAACATCAAATTCTACCCAATCTAAGCCCAAATAGATCAGGAAGGTTCAAATCATAAAATGGACGACCAAACAATTTCCAGACATGACATGCTTATAGTCAAATCGAGCAGCTCGACGATATAAATCCAACGAGCCCCAAGATCTTAGAACTCTGATGTCATTAAGACACTCAAATACTCGATAAAAGGTCCACAATCAAGGAAGTCGATATCAACCATCCATTTAAAACACTCCCAACATGTCTTTGATCTTCTCCCTATTTACTGATCATGCCACTCCCAAGAAATTATAAATATACCGCTCATTCTTTATTGAGGGCAACCCAAGGAAGTAAGAGAAGTAAAAGTGAGAAATCAGAATTCTCTTGCTACCATATTCCTCCTCCTCGATCACCGACCATCATTGGACTTTTGCTTGACTGCTGCCCGGCCACTGATTGTCGTCTGACTTCCGCCCAGCCACCTGCTGATGCAGGATTTTCATCCGACCACTAGCTGACGTAGTATTTTCGCTCGTCCATCGAACGTTGTTGGACTTCCGTCCGATCCCTTTTTGTCACAAGATTTCAACTTAACGGTTGACTGCTAAATCTTGTTTTCCTCAACCTCTAAGACAAACCGATCATTTGCAATCTATTCAAACATTGGTGGAATCATTTGAACTGGACATGATCCTGTAGTTTTCCCTTTGACTTTCCACGTAAAAAATTTCTGATGTTTTTGTTTTTTCTCTGTTTGTGAGCTGAATACTCATGTAATGCTAAGACGTAAAATCGGATACTTTATCGCCGTGAATATTCTAGCCCGCAACAAGAATAGTTTAATATAAATTATATTAATGTATTTAAAAATTATAGAATTTATTTTGAGATTAATGTTACATAAAAAAATTTATATTTTATTAATTCGAAGTAAATTCAATGATTATCATCTTCATTTTGATAAAATTAAAATTATAATATATTGATATAATTTTTATCTATATTTATACATTTATTTTTTATCTATTAATTTATAAATATAATTTAAAAAATTTACACATAATTTTGCAATAATTATTATTTAATATTTAGATTTTTAGTTGTCCCTATTATTAGAGAGAACATTATAAAGTAAACTATGAAATATCCTCAAGCGGAAGAGATTATTCTATGGGGAGACCGGACACAACTTATCGTCCAGAGGCCAATCAGGTGTAGCCACGTCATTCAGTACCGAGCTCAGTACCGAGTAGTACCGAGCCGCAGTATCGAATAGGGGTGATGTGACACATTTTTATTGGGCTATGGATACCATTCGGTGTCCGCATTTAATAATGACAGTTCTAGCGGACACAATAAATGCCTCTGTAATTGAAGTTTTTAGCAAAGAAGAATTGAAGTAAAAGTAAAAGAGAAAAAGAAGAGGGGAGAAAAGATAGGATAGATAGTCTTATCCAATGGAGTAATTATTTCGTGCAGCATGCGAACGGGAAGAATAATTTGGATTGTGAGTGTACACTATATTCGGACGGTTTTTCTCTTACGGATGCTACACAGAATAATTTATCTATCTTGTGAGGCTTTGCACCCTAATTATAAGTGATGATTCCAACTTTTATACTTTTGATTTTTTTTTTCCATATTTAATTTTTGCAAATTCTCAATTACATGCAGAGCCACCTTTTAAAAAAATCTAGCTAGTGAGGTGGGCTGTATTGTTGAGTATATGCACCCATTCTAGAAGTGATGTTAATATAAGCTTTGTTTTGGGTCAATTTTTTTATTGTTCTCTTAAATAATTTTTTAGTATAAATTTTTTTGAACTAAAAATATTATACTAAAAAATTTTTAGAAAATATTAAGAAAGCCATAAATGTTGAGAAATAATATTATAATATAAATAGATTATAGCAATGTTTCTAGTACCAATAAAATCAACAGTGATATGTCCATATAAATAAATTTAGGTTTTGTTTGAAATAATTTTTATTGTTTTTTAAAGGTAAATTTCTAGTGCAAAAATTTTTAGTTAAAAAAATTTTGTATTAAAAAACAATTTTAAGAAGCAATAAGAAAGCCGTCGCAAATGAATCCTTAATTCAAGCACTCGAAGGCATACTTATTAATTTCGAAAAAAATTTTGTCAAGAATATTTTTGATACATTTCGTTCATATATGAATATTCAACCCACCGAGGCTTAGGGTGGTTGATAGGCGAGCAAAGTTGCGAACCCCCCATTTGAGTTTAAATCTCCTATACTACGGCCTCGCCTCTTCATTGGGACAAAATAAGTGTGGGCCCGATGACGGTGAGTGACCTTGCTAGGTTCTGCCGAGGGATTAGTTACGCTACCAAACGCTCCCTTTGGTGTGACAGTGAATAGATACCCTCGTTCAAAAAAAAAAATCTAAAAATATGTTTACATTAACTTTGGACTATTTAAAATATTAAATGACTTCCAAATTTTATATTCTTATATAATTTAGATGATATGCTTGTAAATATTTTGAAATTATAATATATATTTTTAAAAATGTATTAAAATATGTGATCTTATCTGTAGAACTAATAATTATAATAAAATATCAATTTTTTAAGCAATAATGATGGGTTTGAATATATTTTTTTTTTTTGGTTATGAAACAGAAGCAAACTCCTTAAACTCGAGTCTCCATGCCAATCTGGAAGCCGGCAATTCATTTCCACCTCCATGTTTTCTCTTCGGCTTCTCTTCTTTATCTCTCTTCACTCCTTGGCCATTCTCTCTTCAACCGCATTACACTATGAAGATCTTCTGAACTCCGCGCGGGAACCGGAGTTCATGAACTGGATGAGGAGCATTAGGCGGAAGATCCACCAACACCCGGAGATTGGCTTCGAGGAGTACAAGACCAGCGAGCTCATTCGATCCGAGCTCGAAGCCCTCGGCGTTCAGTACACCTGGCCAGTCGCCAAAACTGGAATCGTGGCTTCCATTATTGGAGCCGGCGATGGGCCGCGGTTTGCTCTGCGAGCTGACATGGACGCTCTTCGTCTCCAGGTATTGGTCAATTTCTCATCCTTTGAAGCCGCAGTGCTTATGATTAGTATTAATTTGTAGATTCCATTGTTCTATTCTAGTTTTGTTGGAGAGACGGGATTTTGATGGCTTAGTTCGTTTATTAGTGGGCAAGTTTCTTTTTTAAGCCGGGGACCTGAGGTGAAGATTTTACCTAATGTTCATAAAGCGTTGGGGAATGTGACTCATGGGCTTTCTGAATAAGCTATGTATTACCTATAGAGCATAGTTAGTACTGAATAGAATATTCATGGAGATCAGCTAAAGAATTTATTGTTTCTTAAAACAACACCAAAGCAAAATTATTAAATCTAGTACATGTAGGCCTTCATTTAATATAGAAAACATAATTCAATAACTACTATGGAAGCCATATATGATAAAACTATGAGAGAATAATGAAATACAGACTCCAAAAAATTATGCTTGTTTAAGATATTCAATTTGAATTTATCCTAGGAATGAAATATATATTAGAAAAGTGATTTTATGTTGAGAAAATTAATTAAAAAGTATAGGAGCAAAGAAATTATCTTCGTATAGTTTTCATTGATCGTTGGAAGGCATATAATTGAATATCACAAGAATTGATATGCTGTGCATTAAGAAAGAAAGGTGTGTTTTAATGGTGTGCTAAAAGTTTTGAAGATATATTTGATTGAGAATTTATTTGTATTAGAATAGTTGTAGAATTTCCAAAATGTTTTTGATTATACAAGGGCTATTTTTTATTGAGTATGAAGATGCTTACAAAATATATTCAACATGTGGTGCATTGGTGTGTATAGTTATAATTGGTAAGGCATTTGTTGGAATAAGTGGAAAGATAAAATAATGAAGAAAGCGTTTAGAAGTTCGAGGTCTTAGAATTAGTTGAACAAAGATTAAAATTTTGTTTGGGATAGCTTTGTTTGTTAGATAGCCATCGTAATTTTGTATGGTTGCCGCTTTCTTATTATTTTTCAAAAATTTATGTGGTGGAAAACTGTTTTTTTACAACAGCAGCTATGTTACTTTTCCTACATAACTTCACAATCAACTTTATAAAATGCCGCAGCCATTTCAAACAAACCCTCGTATATGAGATGTTGCTTTTTTTCGTGCAATATTGATAATTTATATCAATATTATTAAAAAATAAAGTTGAGGTGTGACTATGGCTCCCAAGAGGGCGATGGGGGAATTAGGCTTTTTGAAAAAAAAAAATTAATTACATTTAGATGTGAAACAGATATGAGTAATTCAATTGAAGCTTGACCATAAATAATATTAAAAATAATAATAAGAGATGATCAGAGTAATCACACTATTTATAACAATAGTAAGTAAATAAGTGCAAGATAAAATAAAGCAAGAGAGACAACAAACACAAATATTTTTATGTGCTTTGGCCCCAACCTATGCCCATGCCTAGCAAACCCCAGCTAGGATTCCACTATCCCACTGAAAATTCAAAACGATACAATCTTTATACTCTTTTACCCTGGTGAATAAAACCCCAAATCAAAACACAACAATAACAATCACACTAAGCCAATGTCTTAGAAAAAAATAAAAATATTTATCTTGATGATTTCTAAACTATTAACTTTTGCTAGACTTGAACCAAAATGTTGTCCTTACAAAATGACTCAATTGATCACCTTACAATGTAATAACACCTGCAATAATTTAACTAAAATAAGCTCACAATTATTTTTAACCTTATATGAAAGTTCTATGTGAGTTACAAACAACGCTTTTAATAAAATACTTAAAAAAAATTTCAAATATTAAATCATACAAATGTAAAATTGTTTTTACAATATTTAATTTCAGCAAATCAAAAGATGATCTTTATAAAATAAAATAATAATTTCAGCACTTTCAAACTTGATAAATGAACAAATGTGATTTGACAACATGCAAATAAAATCTATTAATAATTTTTGCAAGTATGTAAAATAAATTTGAGCAAATATGTATGCCAATTTCAGCAAAAGTATTATTAAATTTTTATAAAAATGAAATATATTTCAACAAATATGAGAAATAAATCTTGTAAACTTAGAGATTGATTGATTTTATTAAGCTGTACAAATAATTTCAGGATTTCTAAAATCTAATTTCAGCATATCTGACTTTCAGAAAATCAGAAAATAAATTTAGGAAATTAAAAATTAATGCCAAGTATTTGATTTCCATAAATATGTAATTTGATTTTGACATCATAAGGTTTGATTTTAACACTCACTATGTTTTAATTTCTGAACAATGAAACTTGATTTTCAAATCCTAAACTTAAATTTCAACAAATTTAATATTTAATTTCAGCCAAAGAAAAATGGCAAATATATTATTTTATTGCGACAAATCAATGGCAAAATCTCAACAAACACAACATATAGTCTCATCAAACATAAATCATGATTTAAACAAATAACAAATAAATTTCATCAATCCATAAAAAAAAATTGAGCATAAGAAAAATAATTTAAACATGTGCTATTCTCCAAAATAACATAAGCAAATAAATTAAAAAAATTTAAAACCAACTTGCTTACAAATGATGGATGGATTTGAACTTGGAAAATTTCAACTCAAATATGAAAGAACTCCCTTTGATTTGATGTAGAATTTTTGCAAGAGAAAGTATAGGCGTTTGACTGTAGAAAGGAAAAAAATCAATGGATTTTGCAAGAGGTGAAACTCTAGGGTTTTCACTTTGAATGTGAGAGATTTTTTAGAATAACTTCAACTTTTTCAATAGATGTGTAGCCACCAAATTTTCATAATAGGTGGATGTCTAAGGGAGAATTTTGGAAAGGAAATTTCATATATTAGTGTTCAAGCATGTAAGAATTAATGACTAATTTTTTATTTAATTAATTATAATCATAAAAGTGGTACATATTGTTGCCAACATTGTAGTCAATTTCCAGACAATTAAAAGAGCAAAATTGTACTCCAAAGTTATAAAATTAGCCAAATGTCTATTAGACAGCCTTCGTGATGCAAGAGGTTATTGACTTTTGGGCTTTTAGGTAATCAACTTAAAAGAAGAGAAATATTAATTAAAATACGCTTTAGGTGATATAGCGTGCTAAAGAAAGGCAATTCTAAGCTTACAAATCGAAGGTAGTCATTATGTCCCTCAGAAAATTGTACATTCAATCTCTCTTAACGAACGATCAAAATGTTAATTGTAGAAGAAGTAGGAGGAATAATTGTAAAATCAATTTTCTTGGAAGGAGAAACACATCCTAAGGCAATTTGGAACATTGAATAGGGTTTGTTTCCCAATGTCTCTTGGTGGCCTTGTGATAAGTATCAGTGGAGAGACAAAGGAGATATTTTAAAAATAGCAACAACAACAACAAGTTTTTATCCTAATACGTGAGGTCGGCTACATGAATCTTTTTTCTCCATTGTGCCCTATTAAGAGTCACATTCTCATTTAAATAAAAAAATAAAGGTCATTTCTAATACTTTTTAACCAAGTCTTTTTAGGCATACCTCTACCTTTCTTAACATAGGCCACATCTACTCTCCTAACTGAGTCATTGGAAGCCAACGTTTTATGTGACCAAACCATCTAAGACAACCCTCTCTATTCTTATCTACCGCTGGAGCTACTTCAACCTTTTCACGTATATACTAATTTCTCATTATGTCTCTAAGTGTAAATCCACTCATCTACCTAAGCATCCTCATCTATGTAACACTTAACTTAATTTTATACTTCTATTTTAATGACCAACATTCTGCGCCATAAAGCATTGCAGGTCTCAACACCATCTTATAAATTTTTTCTTTAAGTTTGAGGGTTACTTTTCTATCACACAACAGGTTCGATATATTCCTCCACTTTAACCATCCAAGTTGATGTCTACTAATAATATCCCCATCTATTTTACCATCACTTTGAACAATAGACCCGAGATATCTAAAATGTGCACTCTTTTTAATCAGTTTATCACCCTAAGTAACAATCCTATCATTGGATCTATTACTACTAAAATTACACTCCATATATTCAGCTTTAGATCTACTCAAATGAAAACCTTTAGACTATATGGTTGACCTCCATAATTCAAATTTTCTTTCTACTCCCTCTTTAGTCTTATCAACAAGACAAATATCATTAGTAAAAAGCATGCGCCAGAGTACATCCTTTTGTAAATGTCTAGTAAGAACATTTATGATTGAAACAAAAAGATTTGGGCTTAAAGCTAATCCATGATGTACTCCAATTGAAATCGAAAAATACTTAGTTAAACCACCTTGTGTTTGAACATAAGTAACAACCTCCATATATATCATTAATGACTTGAATATAAGAATTATTAACTCTTTTCTTTTCTAGAGCCATCCCAAGCACTTATCTTGGATTTTATCATATGCTTTCGAGTAAATAAATATCATATGTAAATCCTCCTTACTCTCTCTATACTTCTTCATCAAAGCTCTCAACAAATGTATAGCTTCCATAGTAAACCTACTTAGTATGAATCCAAACTAATTTTAAAAAACATTAGTATCATGTCATAACCTATTGATAGGACTGTTGCTATTAGTTATTGCAAATGCAGAGTTTTGTGCTTTAACTTACACACAAGACTTAGTTTTCTAATGATAGTTTAATTTTTTCTATGATATAAGTCATATTTAGCGGAAGTGCATGTGTTGTATCAAGTAATATATTAACGAGAAGACTGTCGATCCGAAGATCCGATGAGGACAAATTAGAACTATCCAAGTTCGCTTCACTACTGCCTAGTGAACTGTTAAACTCATCTTGCTTGATGATTTTAAAGGGTGGTGCATATTAAAAGTGAAAAGTTTCTAATGCAGTAAGAAAATTCACTATTTTTAGAAATTCTGAACTTATGATTTTTTGAAAGTACATGATTGCTTTAGAGTGGTTTACTACCTATTATTGTTGTGCATAAGAGTATAAGTATTCATCGTTTCTATTGAGTTCATTGGAGTATTAGCTAGAA